GCCGTCCATTTCCCTGCAAATTCTATGATTTTGTCATTTTTTAATGCAGAGTAATACTCCATTGTGTATAAATGCCACATTTTTTTTATCCATTCATCTATTGAAGGGCATCTAGGTTGGTTCCACAGTCTTGCTATTGTGAATTGAGCTGCTATGAACATCGATGTAGCAGTGTCCCTGTAGCATGCTCTTTTTAGGTCTTTAGGGAATAGACCGAGAAGGGGAACCAATACTTTTATTTATTTATTTTTATGTGGTGCTGAGGATCGAACCCAGGCCTTGCACGTGCTAGGCAAAGGCTCTACCACTGAGCTATAACCTTAGCCCTTAAGGAATTTTCTTTAGCAGAAAATTACTTTAAAATGAGAAACATAGAAGTCAATTCATAATAGCCAGAAGCATTCTAGAAAGAAAAAAAATTAAAATGGAGAAGAGGATATATTTGTGGGAATAATGGAGATAATTTTCCCAGAATTAACAAAAGATAAAAGACCTCAGATTGAAAGCACCCTTAGAGAGGAAAAACATCCATCTGCACATAAATTATACTCCAATTTAAGAATACTGAAGACAAAATTGTAAACACTCCCAGAGAGACAGAGACAAAGAGAGGGGTACAGGAGAGACATCAATATAGCAGTATCAGAAAATATCAAGTACTCAGGGAAATAAAATTACAAAATGTACATAAGATCGCTGTGGAAAATGAGAAAAGTTTACTGGGTATCAGAGAAGATTTTTATGGTGTTTTTCATTCCTCTGAATGAAATTTTACAGTTTCAGTTGGAATCATTTTTTTTTCAGCTTAAAGAATTTCCTTTAGTGTTTCTTGAAATGCTATTTGTCAGCAACACATTCTTCCAAACTGTGTTTTTGTGAAAATATCATTATTTTATCTTCATTTTTGAAGAATATTTTTTGTGGGAATTGGATTCTAAGTTGTGTTTTTTTTAAAAAATTCAGTAATTAGAAGAATGTCATTCTAATACTTTTAGTTTTCATGGTTTCTGGTGTGTGTTGTTGTTATTGTTGTTTCTGTTTTTTTTTTTTTTTTTTTTTAAGAGAGAGTGAGAGAGGGAGAATTTTTTTAATATTGATTTTTTAGTTCTCGGCGGACACAACATCTTTGTTTGTATGTGGTGCTGAGGATTGAACCTGGGCCACACGCATGCCAGGCGAGCGCGCTACCGCTTGAGCCACATCCCCAGCCCATGTTGTTTATGTTTTTATTCCACTTTAATTTGGTAATATTTTAGCAAAATATTAAATTAGAATTTCTTTTTAATTATGCAGAACATAATTTCATTGTGGCTTATTTGTAGATGAATGTAACGTGATTGATCAACTTCACTCCCCAATTGGTGAGCTTGTTGAATCTTTGAACCTATATCTTTTATCAATTTTAGATAATTCTTGACCAGTTATCTTCAAATATGCTTCTGCCCTAAAGTCTCTTCTCTCTTATTAAGATTTTAATCCCATGTATTTGGGACCTTTTGACTATATCTTTTATGTATTTTTTTTCTTTCTATTATTCTACTCTTAATTTTCTGTGTTCTTTTTTTCTCTTTTTTATTTATTTTTTTCCTCTGTGTTCTTATTTGAGTATCTCTTATTGCCTTGCCTTAAAATTCATTAATCTTTTCTTCTACTATGTCATCTTATGTTATATCCATCCAGTGAGACTTTATATGCCTGTTTGATTTTTAAAAATAGATTCTAATTACTTTAAAATTTGTACTTAATTTTTCCATCTTCTCTATTTTGAGCACAAGTCACATGTTGATAAGGCTTTTGAGCCCTTATCAGCTAATTCCAATATTTGATTAACTTTTCAGTCTGTGATTATTGCCTATTTTTCCCTTAGTTGTCACTTATTTGTTCATTATTTTTAGCATGCCTTTTAAATTTTGGTGGAATGCTGAACATTGTGGATTAAAATTGTGGAAACTTTGGATGACCTTATATTCATCTAAAGCAAATGAAGTTTTCTTCTACCAGACAGAATACTAACAGATCAACTTGATCCTGCTGGTTGGTTTTAGACTTTGTTAGCCATTGTCTATTTCAGTTCCCTCTTACTCTTAGGATGAGCAAGTTCCTTACTCCTAGCTAGTAGCCCTTCTCAGGTTAAACTGGACGTCTGGGCTGCTTACCAGCACTCCACCATGGTAGGACTTGTACTCCTACTTCTGTGCCTGACCACCTCATGCCTCTGACACCTAGCTCAGCTCTTCAGTCTCCCAGCCACTATTTTCTGCAGTTTAGAAGATTTCCTCCCACATGTGTGTCTTAGGAGCCTTTCACTGGCTGAGAAGGGAGTTTCGGCAGATTTCTAGGTCTTTCACTGTGTTTCTCTTCTCTAGGCTTTTTGCCCTTCCAGTCCCCACTGCCTAGTCACCCTGAACCCGCTCTCTGCTCCTCAGCCCAATGAGGCTACCTTGTTCTTCTTGGGCTCTGTTCCCCTCCACTACCATTTAGAAAATGTTAGAAAGGAGAAAGCTAAGTGGAATCACCTTGTGAGCTGCTCATGACTCAAGGTCAGCAATGCCTCAACTCCTGCCTGATTTGTCTTCTTTCTGTGCTTCCACATAAACTCTTGTTTCATAGACTGACCAATGGTAATGGTTGATGTTGGCTGTTAGTCATGGCTGGAACTAGAAGTTTGTAAAACCACTAAGAAAAACAGTTTGATATTATCTTGTAAAATGGAGTATTTATGGACCTTAAGAATTCTACTCATATGACTATGTTTCAAAGAAATCTGTGTATGTGTGTGTCTCTGTGTAGATGTATGTATATATATACATGTACCAGAAAATGTGGGTAAGAATGTTTGTAAAAATACTCTAAATAACAACAAACTTAACATATCCCATCAAGGCGAATTTATGAATAAGCTATGATATAGTCACATAAGAATAAAAATTAAATTAACTTTAATAAGCAACAATATACATGAGTCTTCAAAGCATATTATTAATTAAGAAGTAAAAATATCAAAGTTAATTTTATGTGATGCCCATTTTATAATATTAAGAACGATGTTAATAAAATATATTTTTAAAAGTATACATACAGTTGGGCTAAAACTAGATAAAAGAGGGAATGATGGATATAAGAGTCCTATGGTGGTTACTTTGGGGAGAGTGGAGTAAAAGAAGACCACATGGAAAGATGTGGTAGAAGTTCTAGTTTTCACACAAAGGATGGTTCATGAATACTTATTATACTAAATTAACTAAATAGGTAAATAAAATAGGGCCATATACAAACCAAGGATCATAATTAATCTAGTCTTAAATCCCTGCTACCTAAAGAAAAAAAAAAAAAAAACAATTTCAAACTGGGACTTCAGGCCCAGAGCCCTTGGGCCCTGGAGGGGAGATTTCTTTGAGTAGCAGAGCTGTCTGAGTCATGCCATCTTAGTGGCCATTTGCTCCATTACCTCTGGAGACCCGCCTAGTTCCTTAAATATCAGTGCCAAACCTGTTTGAAAGATCATGGGCAAAACCCCTAAATTTCCATGTCCAGACACCTTGACATTAACCAGAGTCAGGCATCTACTTCTCCTACAACAAGAGTATCCCAACCAGTCTCTTTCCCTCGAGCTTCATTTTTTAGGATCCCATCTCCATATTGCTCCAGGGAATTACTGCTGAACTGCAAAACTGACCAGCCTACTTTTTCTGCTCTAGAATCAAGAATCAAGTTTCTAGAATAAACCTCTAGAATAAAGACTCTGGTCATTGTAGGACCTTCTGTTCTATCCTTGGCAATTACTCATGGCTCTGTACTATACCCCAGTCCCTGAACCCATCCTGCATGTTCATACCATTATACTTTTTTCTCATGCTGTTCAGTTTATCTGAAATGTTCTATTCTTATCTATTGATGTATTACTCATTTTAAGTCTCAGATCACCTATCAATCATTTCTATGAAGACCTGAGAAGAAGCCATGGGGAAAGAGGGTCTGACTATTCAGATGCTCGGGAATATCTGCAGTTTTAACAAGAAGTTTAGATATGTGGAGCTAAGCCAGTAACAGAGCCTGCAAATCACCTTCAGGTTGCAAACTCAGGTCTGGATCTGGAGACACCCACATAGATCAATAGGGCAAACCTAAGTGGATCTGAAACACAAATCTCTTTTTCAATGTCCCAGAGGTAGTTTGTAGGCAGCAAGCAGTACGTAGAAAGAAATTAGTCCAATCTAAGTTGAATTCTGGATCCACCTTTTGAAATGCATCAAATCTGAGGAAATTTACATATTAGCACTCTGGACAATGAGAGAACAATTAAATAATGCATATGAGTCTGCCCATTAATTCATTAACAGATGTAGTATAGTGAGCACGAGATGACACACAAGATCCTGTTGCTTACACGGAAGCACATTTACTGCACTTTACTAAAAAGGATTTCCAAGGTAATTTTGACTATGAACAATGTTTTCTTTACTCATTGATGCTGAAGACCTAATCTCTGGGTGAGAAACTTCTCTACTCTGTCAGCTACTCTGAATTTGAGGAAGTCTCTCAACCTCCCTGAGCTGTGATTTCCTTATTCTTAAATAATTTTAGGAGTTTGGAAGGTTGTGTTTTCCAAAGATGGCCAGAACATCTCCATTGTCTTGTTCATTTTCTGATGCTATAACAGAATACCACAGGCTGGATAATTTATAAAGAAAATATGGTATTTATAAGTTTTTTCTTGGTTCTAGAGGCTTTGAATTCTAGGGGCAAGGTACCTACATCTGGCAAGGGCCTTCATATCATAACATAACATGGTAAAAGGTAAAAAGGTGAGTGAATATGTGTAAAATTGACTGCAAGAGTGAGTAGAGCTTGCTGGGCATGGTGGGACTCAGGAGGCTGAACCAAGAGGATCATAAGTTTCAGTGAGATCCTATCTCAAAATAAAAATGAAAAGTGCTGGGAATGTAGCTCATTGGTAAAGCTCCCCTGGATTCAATCCCCAGTTCCAAAAAAAAAAAAAAAAAAAAAAAATGAGCCAAGTTTATATTTATTATTCTTGAGAGAATTAACTTGCTTCTGTTATAATGGAATTAATCCATTCCTGAGGCTTCCACCCTCATGACCTAATCATCTCTTGAAGTCCTGCCTCTTGAAACTACTACATTGCAATTAAACTTTTAGGGGACACTTTCAATAGCACTCTTCCTTCCATGAGCTCTCTTTCCATCCAAGGGTGGAATTTGTACCCCTTCCCCTGGGATATAGATGAAGTCATAACTTACTTATTACTAATATGTACAGAAAATGGAATGATCTGACCTCAGAGCTAGCTGTTCAAAGGCTAACCAGCTTCCATGTTTGCTTTTTTGGTGAGGGGGACACAGAAGACTGATTCTCTGTGTAAGGGGTATGATTATCCTGAGGCTACCATTCTGTGAGGAAGCCCAGGTGATAAAGAAATGTCACATATTGTTGTTTCAGACTGAGCAGGCAGACAGCACGAACTTCTAGACATGTGAATGAAGATGCTTCTAGATGATTCTTTGCACAGCTGTTGAGCCCCTGACCTTTACATCTTCCAGCTGATGCCCCAAACATCAGGAAAAAGAGACACATTGTCCCTTCTTATGGTTTCTTTGAAATTCCTGACCCAGTGAATCCATGCTCATCATAAAATTGTTTTATGCCACTAAGTTTTGTTATAGTTTTTAACATCAAGAGATATTTTTCAGCATCAAGAGAAACTGAATCAAGGGCTTTCAGAGGACTGAACAAAATAATGTACCAGGCACAAAGCTTGGGCTCAGAACATGATGGCTGGGACAAGCATTGTGTCTGGTGCCAGGCCTAGTAGCCTTAAATCAGCCACTTTATTTTTCTGGGCCTAATATTTCTCTTTAGAAATATCTGCCTAAGTAACTCAAAGGTTTATTGTGAGGATCAAACAGGAGTGATGGATGTGAAAGTGCTTTGGAGACTGGAATGCTCTGTGCAAATCAAAGGGTTATTATATTTATATTATATCTGTCCACCAAGGGCTCGGGTAGGGAGGCATTCTAAAAATCCTTTAGCAGCAATTGGTGTCTGAAATCTTAAGACCAAAGGACCTTGCTCTGATGCCCTACATTTATTTCTTGTTTGAGATCATTAATTTCAATCAGTCATTTAATCAGTCTTTATAGCATGAAAATATTAAATTTGGGGGGTTTCCTGAAAAAATTAAAATAATCAGTCCAGCCTTCCAAACAAATTCTGGTATGTTTGGAAGGACAAGAAATGGATGCGATGTTGGGAGAATGGAAGCTTAACCTATGTTAAGCATGTTTCGGGAGCTACCTAAAAGGAAAGAGGAAGCAGAAAGATAACTGATGTGGTTTCAGAACTACAATGTATCAGGTACTATGCCAAGCTCTTGACATATATTGTCTCACTCAATCCTCATAGTGATGCTACGAAACGAATGTATTAGTCACCTTGCAAATAAGGAAACACACTGGAGAGATTAAGCATCTTGCTCAAGGTCATAGCAGTAGTAAGTTCACATCCAAATTTAGGTCTGGAGACACTTTACCACACTGATACCCCTAAATATATTTTTCTGCCTCAAAGAATTATTTCTCCACCTAGACTACCAAAACAAACAAACAAAAGATCCCTGTTCAAATATTTGCTTGTGAGATAATAACATTGCTGTTCAATTAATTTTCTGCTGAAATCTCATGTTAGAATAATTAATAGTAATTCCTATTTGTACAGAACTTTAGTGTTTACAAAGCTGCACATATTCTTGGATCCTCCAACAATCCTGGGGGCAGGCATCATGTTATACCCAGGGTGGGTCAAATAGGAAGAGGGCAAAAGATTACACTTTAGTTTGCTGTCACATTGTAAAATGAATTGTTTCCTTAGTGTAATGTACTTTGTCTCCTACTGAGAATCACATGACTTTAAATATCACTGAAAATTTTGTGAAGATATGTTTAGGATATCTTTTTTTTTTTCTTTATGAGGGATTGAACCCAGAGACTCTTTATCACTAAGCCACATCCCCAGCCCTTTTTTATATTTTATTTAGAGACAGGGGCTCTCTGAGTTGCTCAGGGCCTTGCTAAGTTGCTGAGGCTGGCTTTGAACTCATGATCCTCCTGTCTCAGCCTCCTGAGCTGCTGGGATTACAGGCATGTGCCACCATGCTCAGCGTGTTCAGAATATCTTTAAACTATTGGCTTCACCCCACCGTTGACTATATCTCTTTACATGATGTATACTTTTGTGAAACACTGGTTTTAAAAAAATCCACTTTCAAAATACCTTCTGGATCATTTTTGTTGTTTTTTTTGGTTGACTTGCTGATAGCTCAGGTCAAATGGGTTATTGCTTTTTCTTGTAATGCACCCGGCATAGAAGGGGCTACTCTGCCATTTCTTTGGTATCTGGATGTTCTTCTGGCATAGATAGTATCTTCAATTCACTGATTGTAGAAACCTTTTAAGGGAGAAATAATTTTAACTCACTGGAATCCATTTGGAAAAGATTAGTGGAAACTGGATAATATAATCCATACATCCACTCAAAGAGGCTCATGTTAACTGATGAATATCACAAAACTCTAAGAGCCTAAAAAATAATAATTGTGGATTTCCACACTCTTCAATTTCTGTTCTCCCTCCAAGATGTCTCAGGTATATTATAAAGTATACAATTATCTAATGCACATATGCACACCAATATGGGCAGCAGCACTCATCCACTTATTAAGCATTGGTAAACTTTTCTTTATTTTTTAGATTTAAAGCATAAATAGAACTTCTTGGTGGACTTGAATCTATAATTGGAAAAAAAATTGCATAGAAATGCACACAGACACGCTTGAGTACATGTAAATACTTGGGAAATCTGAACAAATTCCGTGGCTTGTACCAATGTTGATTTCCTTGTTTTGCTATTGGACTGTAGTTATGCAAGATGTGACCACTGAGAAGAACTAGGTGAAGGGTACAAGCAAACCTTTCCCTTCCTTGCTCACTCACTCTCTCTCTCTGTCCCTCCCTCTCTATTTTGTTCTTGCAACTTCTTATGAATCTATAATTATTTCAAAAATTATATAAATAGAAGATCTAACATTCTTACATCCCAGTGGACTGCTTCTTAAAGGTTCAGGAGATCAACTCCTTATAGAGACCATGACTCTGGCTCACAGAGAGACTTGAGGAGAGTGGTTTCCTCTGGTTGGGCTCATTTCCCTCATCTGTAAAATGGGCAGTTTGGCCCAAAGCCCCTTCAACTCTAAAATTCTAGGATTATACATGCAGTTTTGGGTAGGAGGATGTAAATCTCTTCCAGATTATGGAATTGGATGTGTTCAGCTCCTCCTTCCTGGAAAATGGACTCGGAACTGTTCACCTCTTCCACAGGATCCTTCAAAGAAAAATCCAGAAAGTTCGAAGATGTTTTTATCAAACACCTCAAATAAAGTATCACAAAAGTTGAATAAAAGGAAAAGGTAACATTCCCTGCTGAAGATGATGACGTCTGTATTGAACCTTGAAGTCAAGTTACTGTGTGCTAGCTACTTTTTGCTTCCATGACCTGTTCAGGTTGCCCAAAATACTAGCTGCGTGGGGAAAACATCCCTTCAGCAGTGGAGTTGAAAGAGATGTGTGGGGATTGAGGTAAGGCTCAGAGCCCATAGACATTCCTAAATGTTACCCTGATATTGAAGGGGGGAAGCTGATTGTTTTCCAAGGCATAGCAATAAAAAGTTCATCCCTGGAGAAAGCTGAGGGTGGAGTTATGTGCCTTTTCACATCTGTTGATAATCCTTTAATCCTGGCAACTGCTCAATTGGGAATATGCTTATTTAGGATATGGGAACCCAAAACAGTTCTCACAGTGGCTATCTACATAGCCCGTGTCTTAGAGAGTTATCAGCTGTGTGCCTTCCTTCAACCACCCCTCCCCCTCTGTTTCTTTGGCTATATCCACAGAAATAACCACATGCTAATGAAAAGATAGATATTAAAGTTTGTTTACTGCAGTAGTGTTTGAACTTTGAAAAATCTGGAAATAATTTAAATGTTCATCAAATGTTAAGCTGGGATAATGAATCAATAAATTTAGGGGAAATGATATAAAGATGACATCTTTTATTTTGTGTAATAAACATTGCCAAACACTAACACCCACGAATACTACTGTCCCATCAAAAATAAAAGGAGGGCTGGGGTTGTGGCTCAGTGGTAGAGTGTGTGAGGACTAGCATGTGTGAGGCCCTGAGTTCAATTTTCAGCACCACATATAAATAAACAAAATAAAGTCCATTGACAACTAAAAAAGTATTAAAAAAATAAAATAAAAGGAATATCATCATCAAAAAAAAAAAGGCAATTGGTGCAGGAAGGGAACATTGGAAACCTATGTCAACAAATGGCAGGGAAGGTGTTCTTTAGTGGGTAAAATCTGATAAGGCCTGTAGGTTAACATTAATATTATATCAATATTAATTTCTTGCCTTTGCTAACTATACTCTGGTTATGTTAAGAGAATACTCTTGTTTTCAGGAAATACACACTGAAGTATTTAGTGGTAAAGCGCACTTATGTCTATGATATACTCACAAACAGCTCAGGAAAAAGATATTTTTGCAACTCCTCTGTAAGCTTGGAGTTATTTCATGATACAAAGTTAAAATGTGTGGATTCGATTTTTTTTACAATGCAGAAACTTATGCTTTGACATGTATGAGATGCTATAGTGGTGTTTTTCTTGGAATACATTTGTTTTGCAACATGATGTAGTTTGCACCATACAGCTAGTTTTAGATTGTTTTTTTCTTATTACATTCACAAAATCACTTTCAAAGTTGTATGTTGAAGAAATGGAAGCAAATGTTGAAATTACGTCAGTCAATGGGCAGGTTTTGACACAATGTGCAAAACAAAGAAGGACTACCCCTATGGCCGGTGAGTTCTCTGCCTTCTCACCCCAGAGTAAGCAATTGAGATGGCAGGGGCAAGCTGGATATCTGTCTCATAGTAGCAGGGGACTCTCTGCTTGCTGCTCTGAGCCCACTCACATGGAGGGCTGAATTCCTCTCTCTCAACAGGAAATAAGAAGTTACTTGAAATGGGGTCACCTGCTGTTTGACAAAGAAGTACAACAGGAGTACAATGGAAACCTATTTGGCTGAAAGTGAATAGATGGATGTATTTACTTCTGGCTGTGGACTTGCAAGTTACTTGTGACAATATCGCTTTGCTTCCTCCTATGCTGTACAAAACATCCAGATTAATCTTTCTAAAACATTTCTAGGCCCTTCCTACAAAATTAAAGAACCAAAAACAGATTCTTAAACCCAACATCTTGCAAAATCTGGACTCACCTCTCTTCCCAAATTATTTCTCTTGATTTATTCCTGGATTGAACCTGCATTCCGTACAGGTTACTCATGGTCTTTTGAACTTAGCGTATATATTTCTTTCCCCAGGGTATTGCTTGTACTGTGTCCTGAGCCCGAGATGTTCTTCCTGCCATCTTTTCCAAACAGAAAAATTCCTGCCAATTTTCATGCTCAGGCAAATTGCTATGGCTTGGATGTGGTTTGAATGTGTCCCCCCTCCAGGTTCACGGTTGACATTTAATCCCCATTATGGATATTAAGAGGGTGGAAACTTAATCTGACTATGGTGTTTAGAAGTGAGCCCTTTAGGAGGAGATTAAGTTTGGATAAGGTTATCAGAGTGGAGCCCTCATGATTGAATATCAGTGGTTTTGTAATAAAAGGGAGAGAGATCAAAGAGATACACATGTGTGTTCTGTCTCTTACCACATGATGTTCTATGCTGCCTTGGAACTCTGCCAGCCAGAAGACTATCATCAGATGTGGGCCTTTCAACCTCCAGAACATTGAACTATGAGGTAAATAACCTTTTTTGCTCTACAAAGTAATCCCATTTGAGGTATTCTGCTATAGTAATGAAAAGCAGACTAATACAGCATATATGCAGGACATTGATTGGAACAAAAAAGAAACTAGATTCATATTTAAAACTTGAGGTTAAAGCTGGAGCAGAGCTCAGCCAAGCATGTTCAATATCCTGCACTGTAAAACAAATCAAAAATAACAACAACAATACATTTGTGGCTTATAAATATCTTTGTATTTTAACAATACATCAAGAGATCTCCCCCCCAAATAAAAGGAAAATTATGAAAAGTTGATCCATCTGATTGGAAATTGGAGCAGAGAATAATCATTCCATATCATGTGAGTATGTTTTACCTGGTAATTTCATTAACATCAGAACTACTCCACCCATCTCTAATACTACTTGTCAACAACAGTACCTTTGGATTGGAATGAAAAATCAGCCCTTCCTACATGATAATCCAAATTCAACAACCCAGAATCTTGAGACAGGAAAATTCAGTTTTCAGTTCTCAGTCTCCTCCCATTCTTTTTTGGTTCATCTGCAGAGAGATGGCCCATTAAGACCTGTGCGTGTGCATTCTAGACACCAGTGAGAGTAAAGACTTTATTTTGTTTATCGTGAAACATCTCCTACAAAATGGGAGTAACTGCTCGAAGCCCCATGGTGACAGTGTTTGATCTGCAAGCTCTTGAAGGATTATATTTGTGTTGCTCGATAAATATTGAATGAATAAAGAGAGCCTAAGCTGGATCTAGAAATTTCTCTTCCCCTTGTCCTCGAGCCTGTGTGTTTTTCAAGAGCCTGTCCTGCCTTCCGTGTTGTCTTGGCATGTGTGTGTCTGTGTTCCCCACTTCACTGTGCCTCCTGGGAACAGGAGACATATTTTATTCATGTTTGTCTTTCTCCCTGTGGTTAATAAATCTATGACTTTCAGAAGATTTTCAGGAAGATTGTATTCAATAATAAAAGCAAATAAATGCCTGTTATAAAGTTAAAAGAGACTGGCCAGCTTTTTTTTTTTTTGACAAGTATTATTGTCTCATTACAAAACCAGTCACAACTGTGCAATTTTATGCATATTATATCTACATAATAATACTAAAGTAGGTTCAAATATTATTTCCTATGATGTCTTTCATGGCTACCCCAGAAAATATTAAAAGTTCCCTTTCTTCAATATCTCACAGCATCTTGTCATCTTGTATGTTTCTCTATTACATATTGTACACAATTGTGTGTTTATACAGTTGTGTTGATCTATGGAGGGAACATCAGATTTTTGAGAACAAAATCTGTGCCCTATTCAACTTTATATCTCCAGTATCTACTTACTAAACTTAACACATAGTGGGTATATTAATGTTTTTGAATTAATAACAAACCATTTTGAAGTGAAGTGTACCAATTGGAGAATATCTTAAAGTGTATACATAGGAAGATTTTTGGTTTTTGGCTAGGAAAGAAGAGCTATGAAATCCAGTAGTAATTAGATTTTTTTATTTTGAAGTTACTGACCATTTGCTAACATGTCCAAATTACTTGCTGTGTTATCAGAACGAAGTCAACTAATTTCCTTAAGTACTTGCTTGCTTTTCACCTTGTATTTCAGAAACCTTTATTTTCATTGACTATTCTTTAAACCAGGAACTAAATTCCAGGTTTTTATTATCAGCTTTTGTGTTCTTAGCAGAAGCCCCATAGAACTACTGTCTAATCAACCGTCCTCCTTAAAGTCCCAGATTGTGCCTTTTTGATAAAGGAAAATTAAGAAATTACCAGGAAAAAAAAAAAAAAACAATGAGATCAGTTGACATGACTTATAGTCTCTCCCAATTTCAACTTGATATGTCCACTACCATATTCTTGATTGCATTTATTTTCTGTAGTGGCTTCTGCTGCCTTGATTTTGTGGATAAAAGAAATCTTAATTCATACAAAGTAAAGGAACAGACAGAATTTAGCATGGACATGAGAAGACTCAAGTATGTCATGATTGTAATCTCAAATGCCTGGGAGGCTGAATACAAATGCGGGCCCCTGAGCAGTTGTGTGAGGGTCTTTCGGACTAAAGAAAAGAACACTGAGTAAAAATCATGAAGTCATGGCTTGGCTCCCTATAAGGAAGAACTTTCTACCAGAGAGAACAGGTCACCCATGGGATAGGCTGCCTGGGAAGCTAGTGAATCGTGGCTAGTGACAAGAAGTGACAGCTTTCCAAATGAATTGGAACAATATTTATTAGATATCTTCTATACCTTCTACAACCTAGACACTGTCTGAAGCACCGGAAATGCAAGGGAGGAAGACAGCAGAATTACTGATCTGAAGGGCACTTATAAAACAATGGAGGAAGACAAGCAAATAAACAAATAATATATTGTGATAAATGTTCCAGGAGAGATGGAGGTACTGTATGATGAGAACATAAAGAGAAGAATAATGAACTATTGAAAAGAATCTGTATTTCCTGGCACAGTGGCTCATGTCTGTATTTCCAGCTCCTTGGGAGGCAGAATCAGGAGACTCTCAAGTTTGAGGCCAGCCTGATCAACTTGGTGGGATCTTGTCACTACAAACCCTTAAAAAGGGATGGTGAGGGCTGGGGATGTGGCTCAAGCGGTAGCGCGCTTGCCTGGCATGCGTGGGGCGCTGGGTTCGATCCTCAGCACCACATAAAAATAAAAAAAAAAAAATAAAAAGATGTTGTGTCCACCAAAAACTAAAAAATAAATATGAATTTTTTTTTTTTTTTTAAAAAAGGGCTGGTGATTTAGCTCAGTGGTAGAACACTTTCCTAGCACGTGTGCGTCCCTGGGTTCAATCCCCAGTACTATAAAGAAAAAAAGGATCTGTGTTTGTCAGCCCCATCTTTGGTTGCTGTGACCTGAGAAAAACAAAGGAGGAAAGGCTCATGGTTCCAGAGGTTTCAGTCCATGGTGAGCTGGGTGCGTGGCCTTTAGATCTATAGTGAAACAAACATCATGGCAGAGGCCATGGCAGAAGAAAGTTGTTACTTCATGGCATTCAGGAAGCAGAGACACAAGGGAGAGAGTGGGGATGGGGCAGGGACAAGAAATACCCTCTCAGTGACCTACTTCCTCCAACTAGGTCTCACCTCCTGAACTTTCCACCATCTCCCCATAACACCTTCAGTTATGAACCAATCAGTGGATTAAGGCATTGATGAGGTCAGAGCCCTCATGATCTGATCACTTCCCAAGAGCCCCATTTCTGAACACTGCTGCACTGGGAACCAAGCCTTCAACACATGAGCCTTTGGTGGACACTCCAGATCCAAATCCTAACAGGATCTAGTCAGAAGAGGAAACAGCCTTGGAAAGTGATGAAGACATTGGAGAATATTGAAAATACTCAGGCTTTTGAGAGGGTGGGTTAGGAAGAATCACAGAATGGATTATATTGAAGAATTGGACTAGCTATGTATTCAGTTTCCTTTATTCCAAATATTCTGTCTATTGGTTAATTACTTATTTAAGAACATAATTTTCTCCCTACTGCCTAAGAGAACAGTAGTGTTGAGGAAGGAGATCGGGGGAGGGAGGAGGGAAAGAAAGGGAAAGTCCTGGGAAATAAAATTCACCAAATTATATCATGTGCATGTACAAATATGTCACAACGAGTCCCACTATTATGTATGAATATAATGCACCGATGAAAACATAAATAAATTAATAACTTATTAAAAATAAATAAATAGGGCTGGGATTGTGGCTCCGTGGTAGAGCGCTCGCCTAGCACATACGGGGGCCCTGGGTTCGATCCTCAGCACCACATAAAATAAATAAGTAAAATAGAGATTGTGTCCAACTACAACTAAAAAAGATTAAAAAATAAAAATAATAAATAAATAAATAAATTTGGTAGTATATGCCTTAGCTAGCTCAATGATGGCTTTGTGGTATTTGTAGTCAGCATAAGGGTTGGCTGGATAACTTCTTCTGAATATTGTAAGTGTCCTCAGCAACTGTTCCCCACTTCACTTACCCAGCAAAGTGGTATCAGAGAAAATTTTACCTGGTTGGAATGAGGATTTGATATTTGTGGGATTCAAGCTTCCAAACTTTCCTTGCAATATCTCTTGCTCTCCAACCCATAGTCAAAGCCTCAACTACAGAGGAAGGCAAATTTCCTGTGCACAGTACTTATTACTAAATGACAATTCACTTGAGCCTCATTTAAGAGACCCTCAGGACAAATATTACTTAACCTCTTTGAAGATGCAAATGCTCTTAACTTTAAGGGTTTTTGTTTTGTTTTTTTTGGCTTGTTTATTTTGTTTTTTACATCAACCATAATCTTCTTGCTGACCACAAAGTAGGTGGATGGAGAAGACTGAAGATTTTTCTTGAATTTCCACAGTGCTTTTGTTTATTTGTTTGTTTTGAGTTCTGCCTATTAATTTATCCTGCTGGTTTTCTGCCTCCTGCAGGGAGGCCTGGACACAGAAGCTGGCAAGTTGATCTTAGTTGTTAACTTCATGTCTCTCATTAGTGAAATTGAGTTTAAAATAATTGATTTCAGGAATCCTGAGGAGACAATCATTAAATCACCAACATGCAGGATGTAAAAAGGGCAGACACTGTTCAAGCTAAGACTCTATTAAACTTGTTTTCTTGAATCATTTTCACCACCTTTCATTTTTAAAAAATCACTTCTCAACATATGTTCACCAAAAAACTTTGTAAATTAATGTGTATAACAATTTTATTCATAATTTCCCCAAACTGGAAATGACTCAAATGTCTATTGACTGGTGAATGTTTCAACAAACTGGAAAATCCATACAATGGACTGTCTTTAGCAATAAAAAGGAACAATCCACTGATACAGGTAACAAAACGGATGGATTGTTAATATTTTAAGAAAAAGAGATCATAATCAAAAAGTTACTTTGCCTATGATTCCATTTATATGACATTTTGGAAAAGAAAAAAAAAATAGAGTCTGAGTATAGATCACTGGCTACCAGAGACTGGGGAGCAGCATTGATCACAGGGTAACAGAAGGCAGTTATTTTTTTGTTTTCTTTCTTTTATGGAATTGTTCTAAAACTTAATTATGGTGTTGGCTACGTGACTATGTGCATTTGTCAAAACTCATTGAATTCAATGCTAAAAAGGAGTGAAATTTATTGAAGGTAAATTATACCTCAACAAATCCAATTTGAAACAGCAATGATAAAAACAGAACAATCTCTTCCCTTTAACTGGGACTCAGTTATGCCTTGTGCTGTAGTTCTCCTGCTCAGCTGCTCACTGGTCCCATCCAGTGTCTGTGCACTCTGCTTCATGTCTCCTCACTCCTCAGCGAGCTTCAAGCATCTGCATGCTACCCATCCAATCCAAATGCACCTCATTCCTGAGCAGGAAGCTTCCCCGCTTATTCTGACAAGGAGCAGCTCTGAATCTTCTGGGCTTTCATGACCCCCAATTATCAGGCATGATGACAATCTCCACTTGTACCCTTTATCTCTTGTGTTCTTATCTTCTGTACCAAAGAGCCAGCATGTCACATTCCTTTTTTAAAAAAAAAATATTTGTTTATTATTTCATCTAAAATAGCAATAATAAACTTATTACATGCTAAGATAAATAACTCATTTTTTTTTTAAAAAAATAGTCATTATCCAAACCAAAACAGATGTGATGAGGAGAATGATACTGTATGATATTTTTGCAAAATCTCTTAAATGATGCCTGGGCTCCTTAAGGATAACCGAGCTCTCCTAGCTACTGCTATAGTCAATGTGCTGCAAAAACCACATATTATGTAGCTTCAGGAAAACCCACTGTATATGCATGATAAAATAAGCATGAAATAAACAAATAATGTGTTAGTTATATATTCTTATGGTGCTGAGAATTGAACCCAGGGCCTCCACACGTTAGTTAAGCATTCTACTACTGAGCGACATTGTCCCAGCCCAATGAGTTAGCATTATAAAGAAACTACTATTAATAAATCAATTAACTCCTGACAGAGTTCCAGGGACCCACAGGATCCAGGACAACACTTAAGGATTGATGCTCAAGACCATCTCTACTGTTAAGGTTACTCTTTTATTTATCATGTACTGCAGGCCCTGCACATGTACAACCTCCTCTGTTCTTAATGTCCTGCACCACAGTGGAACATTTATTGTAATCATGAAACTTGTTAACATATCATCACCCAATGTTTATAGTTTGCATTAGGGTTTACTCTTAGTCTTGCATGTTCTATTGGTTTTGACAAAGATAAAATGACATGTACCCATCATTGTAGAATCACTGCCCTAGAAATCCTCTGTGCTTTGTCCCTTCATTTCCCTCTCTGCAAAGCACTGAAAACCACTGCTGCTTTATGCTGTTCCCATAGCTTTCCCTTTTCCAGAATGTCATATAATTTAAATCATACAATATGTAGATTTTTCAGAAAGGCTTATGCATTTAGGCTTAATGCTTAGGCTTTTGGATTCCTCCATATCTTTTCATGGTTTGACAACTTTTAACTTGTTTCTTCTTTCCTCCTCTTTCTCCTTTTCCTTCTTCTTCACATTCTCTTTCTTCTCCTCCTCTTCCTCCCCCTACACCTCCTTTTTTGTAGTACTGGGGATGGAACTCAGGAACTTGCACATGCTAAGCAAGCTGTCTACCACTGAGCTATATCCCCAGCACAACTTATTTCTTATTAATGCCAAATAATATTCCATTTTATGGATGTACCACCATTTATTTAATCATTCCCTTACTGAACCTTACTGATGACGTCTTGATTCCAAATTTTGGCAATTATGAATAAGCTGCTATAAACATTTTTGTGCTGGGTTCAGTGAGGACACACGTTTTCAATTTGTTTGGGTAAATACAAAGAAGCACAATTGTTAAATTGTGTGATAGAAGTATGCTTGGTTTTGCACGAAACTGCCAAACTATCTCCTAAAATGGCTGTATCATTTTGCAATCTCACCAGCAACAAATGAAAGTTTCTGTTGCTCTAAATTCTCTCCAGCATTTGGTTTCTTCAGTGTTTTGGATTTTGGCTTCTAACTGGAAAGTCGTGGTATCTTATTGTTGTACTTAATATGTGATGTTGAACTCTTAGGCTTATTTACTATCTGTATGTCTTTTTTGATGACGTGCCTAGTTACACCTTTTACCCATTTTTAAAATCAGGTTGTTTGTTTTCTCTCTCTCGCTCTCTCTCTCTCTCTCTCTCTCTCTCTCTCTCTCTCTCTCTCTGTCTCTCATTTTATTTTATTTATTTATTTTTTTTAGGTCCTGGGGATTGAATCCAGGCTTTGTACATGCAAAGCAAGCACTCTACCAACTGAGCTATATTCCCAGCCCCATGGCTGTTCATTTCTCATTGTTGAGTTTCAAGAGCTCGTTGTATGTTTTGATTAACAGTCCTTTATTAGATGTGCCTTTTGCAAATATTTGCTCCTGATCTATGATTTTCTTTCTCATTCTCTTTCCCACAGACGTTTTTAATTTTAATAAAGTCCAGTATATCAATTATTTCTTTCATGGCTCATGCCTTTAGTGTTGTATCTAAAAATTCATAACCCTATCCAAGGGCATCTATGCATTTTTCTCCTATGTTATCATCAGGGGTTTTATAGCTTTGCATTTTACTTTTCTATGTTTCATATTAATCTAATTTTTGTGAAGGGTGGAAATTCTGTGCTTCCATTTATTTCATATGTGTGTATGTGTGTGACTGTCCAGTTGTGCCAACACCATTTGTTGTAAAAACTACCTTTGTTCACTCCATTACTTTTGCTTCTTTGTTAAAGATCAGTTGACTGTATTTGTGTGGGTATATAATGGGCTCTTTATTCTGTTCCAATGATTTACTCTCCTTCTCTTTTGCCAGTCATATGTTGTCTTGATCACTGTAGCTTTACAGTAAATCTTTACAGTGTCAAGCCTCCTAATTTCTAATCTTTTAACATTGAGTTGATTATTCTGGGCATTTTTCTCTGCATAACCTTAAGGATCAGTATATGAATATCAACAAAATAACTGACTCTGATTTTGGTTGAATTGTGTTGAATCTATAGATCAAGTTAGGAAGAACTGAGATGTTCATAATATCAAGTTTTCCTATTATAAATATGAAATATCTCTCTATTTATTTATTTGTTGATATATTTTATCAGAGTTTTTCAAAACTCCATGTAGATCCTGTATATATTTTGTTAAATTTATGCAAAAATATATTGTTTTGGAGGTACTAATGTAAATGGCAGGGTGTTTTTAAGTTCAAACAAGTTTATTGCTGATATATAGGAAAACAGTTGATTTTTATATGTTACCCTTGTATCCTGCAACCCTGGTATAATTGCTTATTAGTCCCAGGAGATTTTTGGTGATTCCTTTAGATTTTCTAAATATAATTATGTCATCTATGATCAAAGATGATATTATTTCATCCTATGCAATTGGTATATCTTTTATTTCCTTTTTCTTATCTTATTGCATTAGTCTTCATCTCCAGTACAATGTTGAGAAGCAGTAATGAGAGGGCATATCCTTACCTTGTTCCTGAAAAGTTTTGAGTTCTTCACCATCAGATATAATGATAACTGGAATTTTGTAGATGTTTTTGTAGTGTTGAGGAAGTTCCCCTCTATTCTTAGAGGGGAAAGTTTTGTTGTTGTTGATGTTTTAATTATGAATGGGTGTTGGTTTTGTTAAATGCTTTTAATGCATTATTAATATGCTTATATGGTTTCATTCTTTATCCTTTAATATTACATTAATTGATTGGTGAATGTTAAAACAGCTTTTGAAAAAATGTGATAAGTTCCAGGTGGTCATGCTATATAATTATTTTTAAACACTAATGGATTCAGTTTGCTAATACTTTACTGAGATTATGTTTTTTTTAAAGAGAATGGTCTGTAGATTCTTTACTTCTTTATTTGTAATATCTGTCTGATTTTATAAGGATAATGTTGGCCTTATAGAATGAGTTAGGCAGTATTTCCTCTACTTCTATCTTCTGGAAGATAATTGGTATAATTTTTTTTTCTTAAAAATTCACCAGTGAGGGTTGGGGTTGTGACTCAGTGGTAGCGCGCTTGCACAGCATGTGTGAAGCACTGGGTTCAATCCTCAGCACCACATAAAAATAAATAACTATAACAAAGGTATTGTGTCTGTTTACAACTAAAAATATATTTTTTTAAAAAAAATTCACCAGTGAACCCATCTGATTGTTTTTTTTTAAATGAAAATTTTACTTAGATAATTGTAGATTCACATGCAGTGTAAACAGCAACACAGAGAAACTCATGTGTCTTTTATCCAGTTTTCCCCAATAGTAACATCTTGCAATACTATAGTATAATGTAACAACCAGTATATTTGCATTGATATGATTTATTTTATCTTATTTGAACTTCCTTACTTTTACTTGTACCCATTTGTATACGTGTATTTAGTTCTATGCAATTTTAGAACATGTATTAGTTTGCTATTCACCACCACAGCACAGAAGCAGAAAAGTTCATATCCCTTCTTATGCTTTCTGTGGAAGCGTGGATACATTGCTAAGTGACAGAATCTCAGTAAATATTTATCAACACATTTCCTTAAGGGATTTCATTTGTAGCAACCCAGGAATAATTCCTAGGATTTTCTTGTTCTGTTGTCCCTAGAACTAGCCCTAGAAGCTATTGCAAAGGATTGAAGCTGGAGGGCTTATTTTTGCATTAGAATTGCTGAATCCTACATCTTGTTCGTGTCATATCCATGTCACATTTTAACTGTTAGAAGCTGATGTACATGACACAACTTTCTTCCCCAGGTGAGAAATAACCTATCTACAGTTGCGGGGCTAAAGGATGACATTTCACACCTATGACAGTCAACAGGGTAAGTATCATGTTCAACCTGACTTCTAAGGGTCCACGATATGGTTATGTCAACACAGTGCATTGATGGTTCTAGGGGAGAAGGGAAGCAATACATAATATAATTTATTTATTCATTAAACAAGTTTCAAGAGATGATTATGTGTTATCTTTTTAGGAATTCAAAAATGAACTGAACAAATATTTGGACAAATTATCTTACATAATAACCTGGGAAATGTGACAGGTTAATATAATTCATCTTCTTCCCCACTCTTCCTCTTCACAGCCCTGTTCCCAAGCTGAGCAAACTCCCCATTTGCTAGCCACTCAACCTCACCTACCTTCCCTGCCTCTGCCCTTGTTCTTGGTAGTTCCTTTGATCCATGTCCTTTACCTCTTATGATCATTTATTTTCCCAAATTCAAACTTTGCTATGAAGATGGTCATAATATCCCCAAACACATCGACTCTTTCCCCTCTAAATCCTTTTTATTGGCTTTAAATTCTCATACTTTGTATTCAGATTATATATATATTGAGCTTCTTAATAGATAAGTGCTTGGATGGTAGGATCTATGTCTCTGATGGGATCTGGTCAGTTTCCATAATAAGCATCACACCTGTCTTTCCCATCTACCTCTCTACACATGAAAATGTAGATGCAGTTTTTGT